TTTATCCGAATAATATTTTACTTGGATAATTTTTTTTTCCAAATTGGCAATGATGGTTTTTATTTAAATTTCTTATGATAATTTCTCTAGAAGTTATCAGAAGTCGTTTTATTGATAACTCATTGATGATAATTTTTGCTGTTAAACTACCCTCTTCTAAGCGGTTCTTCAATGGTCTAATTTGTTACCTGGGACGTCAGCTTTTTTTTTAGGGGGTAGTGAACAAATTTTTTGAATCCTGTAACCATAGGAAACAAAACGATTATGAATTAGAGGTTATGAAAAATAATATGGCATAAAAATTAAAAATGTTATATTAAATACCTTTAATTTAAAAATTCGTCGACACGTACCCATTTTGACATTTTCTACGTTTAACTGTGTTCGCGTTTACCATAGTTTGAAACTCGGATGGGCATTGTAAAACCGCATCAAATAATCCTACAACTGTTGATGACGTCATAAATTTAAAATGTCATTATTAATATTAGAATTAAGATTATGTATTATTATTGTTGATTGGATAAATGAAGTAATTATGTACAAAGGCATTACAATTTTTGTTAATTTCATCATGATGTTTAGATATTGTTATTGGAAAATATATTTTAAAGTAATTTGTAATCTTGGCGTAGATTTACGCTTTGTATATATTTGTTTTTCAGCTTGAAAATATAGGATACTATGTAAAATAATTATTGATCTTAATTTGATATATTTTATAAAATAAATATTAAAGACTTACTTGTTAAATTAAAATTTCTTTATCCAAATAATGTATTTAATTTAATAAAATAATGTATTGTATCAATTATTTGTCGCAAATTCTCAAATTCTATAATCATCACAAATGAAATAAAAATAAATTGGAGGTTATAAAAAAAAAATCACATACGACGAAATATTACAAAAATGTTGTATCTTCATTTACATTTAATGAAAACTATTTTAGTCAAAATGAAAAGATTCTTTATGATAAAACATCTGATTTTTGTATTGCATTAATTATTTTTCCACAAATTCTTAAATCCTGCAACCATCGGAGACAAAACAATAATAAATTAAAGATTATGGAAATTATTATCACATAAAAATTTTAGAGGTTATGAAAATTAATATCGCATAAAAATTAAAAATGTTATATTAAATACCTTTAATTTGTAAAATGTATTTGTTTCTCTTGGAAATAAATCCCAGTGACGCATTTTTTCACGCAATTGACGACGACATGCCATAATTTAAAAATTCGTCGACACGTACCCATTTTGACATTTTCTACGTTTAACTGTGTTCGCGTTTACCATAGTTTGGAACTCGGATGGGCATTGTAAACCCGCATCAAATAATCCTACAACTGTTGATGACGTCATAAATTTAAAATTGTCATTATTAATATTAGAATTAAGATAATGTAATATTATTGTTGATTGGATAAATGAAGTAATTATATACAAAGGCATTACAATTTTTGTTGATTTCATCATGATGTTTAGGTATTTTTATTGGAAAATATGTTGGAAAATATATTTGAAAGTAATTTGTAATCTTTTACATTTTCTTAAAGAAAAAGGAATCTGTAATTTCGAAATTGCTTGATAGATGGTGTAGATTTACGCTTTGTATATAATTGTTTTTCAGCTTGAAAATATAGGATAATATGTAAAATAATTATTGAATTTAATTTGACATATTTTCTAAAATAAATATTAAAGACTTACTTGTTAAATTAAAATTTCTTTATCCAAATAATGTATTTAATTTAATAAAATAATGTATTGTACCAATTATTTGTCGCAAATTCTCAAATTCTATAATCATCACAAATGAAATAAAAATAAATTAGAGGTTATAAAAAATAAAATCACATAAAATTTAAAGATTCTATATTAAATACCTGTTATCTGTAAAGTGTATTTATGTCATCAACGATAATATTTTAAAAATTTCATAAATTACACGATTATATACGACCAAATATTAGAAAAATATTGTATCTTCATTTACATTTAATGAAAACTATTTTAGTCAAAATGAAAATATTCTTTATGATAAAACATCTGGTTTTTGTATTGCATTAATTATTTTTCCACAAATTCTTAAATCCTGCAACCATCGGAGACAAAACAATAATAAATTAGGTATTATGGAAATTATTATCACATAAAAATTAAGATTGTTATATTAAATACCTTTTATGTTTCTTTAAGAAATAAATTCCAGTAATACGTTCTTTATGCGATCATCAACGATATTTTTAGAATCTTGAAATTTATAGACATGTATGTTTTCTTACCATCATTTGACTGTAGTTGGGTCTATCATAATTTATAATAATTTGGATGGTGATTTAAAGTAAAAATAACTAAATTTCATTACATTAGATAACAATTTTTAATTAATATAGCTTTATGAGACACATTTATTTATCTTTGATTCAAACCATCTCAGTTGAAATGTAACAATTTTTCATGATGATAGTTCCTTGTTTGTATTAATTTTGGAGTTTCATATTTACTGAAAATAAAAAACAATAAATTAAAAGACCTGAAAAACAAAAGTATATTCAAAGTTATTATTTTATGAAATTCATTTTAAAATGTATCTTTAATAACTAATCAATGGTAATCCTTATATATTCATTGATAAATTAAAACAATGTTCAATTTTCTTTCTTTCATTATTTTAAATTACTAACAATTAAATTTCAGACAAATAATAATCTTAATATGGCAATCAATAAAGAATATTTTCATCAGCAAAAATGTATAATCGAAATTTTCCAGTAAATGAAATTTAAAATTGTAAAACTCTACTAAACATAAAAATTCAATCTAAAAATGATAAATATTTTTAAACATGATTTAATCATTCACCTGATATTTCCTTGATATAAAAGTAACTACAATTCTTTCAATGAAACAGTAATTTTCAGTCGACAAAATTTTATAAATTATCTTTATCCATATCCGATTGCATAAAAAGGGAGAAAGCCTCGTATTTTCTGCTTACCGAGTGCTTTGCTTTAACATGAGCAAGATTGGGAGTCTTCGGAATGACCCTGATCGATCGGGATTCAGTGCATGGTATTACTAGAATAAAGAAGTTGCTAACCTTCTATAGAAAGGGTGGCATTTTCACGAGCGCGCCCCCCTTCAATAACAATACCAATATCCATATCCGATAAAAATAATTTTAAACGAATTATAATGATTCTTGACAATCAAACTTTTAAAAGTTGTGTAGTATCAATATATATGTTAATGTTAGTTATATGTTAATATATATTTTTCGGTAACTTCATTTTTTTTTTGTTTTGGGATAGCTTTTTATTTTCGCGCTGTGTATACAACACCCCCACCATACCCAACCTTGGTTAAGCCGCGCGAAAAGACAGACTTGCGTGAGCGTCCGTAGTGCGAACCACGAAAAACCAAGCTCTCTTCTGTGACCGGTTCGCGAGAACCCCGCGCTGTGTTGTGGTCCTTACCACCCCCAATCCTCCAGAAAATACCCCTAAGAAGACCCGGCCGGGCAGACGACGACGCGGGAAACCATCAAGGTGGGTGATTAACCGTTTCGGGTGTTGTATGTCCTACCGTTTTCTTGCCGCTCTTTCTCGTTTTAATTTTGAGGGTGATTTACAACCACCTTCCCCCAACCCTTTACATATTGGTCCTTCTCCCCAAATCAGAATCAGTCTTTTGGATTTTTATAGTCATTCACAAACTTTAGTAATTTAAATACATGTTCGCTATCGTGAACAGGTTAGCAAAAAACGTGTAAAGTTTGGAGCGCAAAAAAGCGGTTTCATAAAAAGTGTTTACCGTCGTTTCGAATTGCGGCCTTTTTATTTGATTCGTTCTAAGCATATTTTCTGCGTGCTCAAATTCTTCTTCCTTTTAATTTACGTGGGTACTTTGTTTCGAGACTTAGGAGTGCATTTGTTTACAAAGCGATTTACAATGTCGGAAATGGATAAATTTATTGCTAAGCGGGATTTAACACTTAGACGCGTTAACGATATATTGTTAGCGGGTCAGAAAGCTCGCGTTGAACCCGATGATGACGAAATCTTATGCAAATTCCAGTGCATGGTGGAGGATTTGCCGAGTTTAGTTAGCACTTTTGAGTCCTTGCAATTGGAAGTAGTCTCCTTAGCGAATGATTCGGAAAGAGATCGACAGTTTGCGGTTCAAGATCACTTTGATCAGTTGCATTATTCAATTCGATCTATTGCCAAGCGATTATTTGAGAAAGTGGAACCTAAGGCAGGCTCTCCGGTACCATCTGTAGTTGGTCGAGAGTCGCAAAGAAATAGTAATCTCCGACTCCCCCGTATTATCATTCCGAAATTTGATGGCGAATTGAAAAATTGGCCTACATTTTTTGATATGTTTAACACGTTGATCCATAATAATTCTTCCCTTTCAAACATTGAAAAATTTCAATTTTTAGTATCTTATTTGGAAAAGGATGCTCTCAGTGTCGTGAAGAATTTGCCAATTAAGGATGCCAATTATAGTATAGCTTACAATGCCCTCGTGAAGCGTTATCAAAACGATCGATTGTTGTTAACCGATTATTGGCTGTCGATCTTTCGGGCTCCGACTATGAAGAGTGACTCGGTTGTTGAACTGAGGAGATTGCTTTCAACATTTTCAGAGAATCTTGCAGCTATCGATAAATTCGATATCGACTAGTGGGATTTTACAAAATTCAATTTGCTCTTAGAGAAACTCCACTCAACTCTCAAGACGAGGTTCGAACTCAAATTTTGTGATAAAGATATCCCAACTTTTCAAGATTTATGTGATTTTTTGGAACAGAATTGTAAAGCTTTAGAAAACTCTTTAGTTACCTCAAAAGGTATTACCCCTACCAAGAGGCTTGAGGTTTCGAAGCGACTTTCAACCGATACACGTAGACCCACATCTATGATAGCGACGTCTACCCCTCCGAGTGCTGATGTGAGTTGCACCAGTAAGTGTTTATACTGCCCTATGGACTACCATCCTCTGACAAAGTGTGATTCCTTCCTATCTCTTGAGCCCCCTCAAAGGCATGTGTTCATCAAGCAACATCGTTTGTGCTTTAATTGCTTCGCGCGATCCCATGGTGTTGGAAGATGCCCCTCCAAGATTAATTGTCGTGTATGTGGCAAGCGCCACCATACTTTAGTGCATTTTGGAAATGCTACTACCCCCTCCCCGTTGAATGAAGCTCCCCCTGCTTCCGGCAACCAGGAAGGTACTATCCCTAGTCCGGTGACCATGATGACCAATCTCTCTTCTCAAAAGGTCGTGCTCTTTGCCACTTGCTTGGTGTCCGTTTCGGATAAATCTGGCAGACTTGTTACTTGTCGTGCACTGTTGGATTCAGCTAGTCAAGCCAGTTTTGTGACAGATTCCTTTGCGAAGAAATTGGAGCTTCCAAGGTCTCTCTCTCCGACACCAATTCAAGCCCTCAACCAAATGTCGACGTCTGCGTTAGGGAAGGTTGCCCTGAGCGTGACCCCCTCCCAAAGAAAATCCCCTGCTCTCCATATAGAGGCTTTAGTTATTCCATCTATTTGTGATAAGGTACCCTACCAGGTGATTGATAAGCAGAATCTAAAACATCTCAGGTCCCTACCCTTGGCTGATCCCCACTTCTGTGAACCCAACGAAATAGACGTGCTTTTAGGGGCAGAGGTTTACGGAGATATTTGTTTGCTTGGATTTAGAAAAGGACAGAACGGTGGCCCATGCGCTTTTCGGACCATCTTCGGATGGGTTGTCCTAGGAAAAGTGAATTCTTTAGAACCATCTTCTCCCATTAGTTTTTATATTACTGTGAGTACTGCTGTTGATGTTTCTTTGAAGAGATTTTGGGAACTTGAGTCCGTCCCTTCAAAGACCTTTATGTCTCCTGAAGACAAATTGTGTGAGGAGATCTTTCTCTCTACCCATTCCCGTGCCCCTTCAGGTAGATACGTCGTATCCTTACCCTTTAAGGATAAACACCCTTCACTTGGTGAATCTTACCCTCAAGCCCTTAGGCGATTCCAGTTGTTAGAGGCGCATTTGGCCAAGAACCCAACTTTGCGATTAGCCTACAACGAGTTCTTGAGAGATTATTGGGAACAAGGTCACATGGCACTCGTTAGCGACCTGCCGCCCTCTTCCCAAGGTTACTACATTCCTCATCACGCCGTCTGGAAGTCACATAGCGAACCCCTTAAATTGCGTGTTGTGTTTGATGCTTCAGCTAAAACTTCCAACGACCGGTCTCTGAACGATCTTCTATTTACGGGTCCCAAGCTCCAACCCGACTTTGGAGCCATTTTGCTCATCTTTCGACTGTACTGTGTGGTTTTCACCACCGATATTCGTCAGATGTATCGTCAAATCCTAGTGAGTGACGCCGACCACCTCTTCCAGCGGATTCTGTGGCGTTTTGATCCCCGCGAAGCAGTGCGAGAGTACGTCTTGTCAACGGTGGTCTATGGACTAAGTTGTAGCCCATACTTGGCTATCCGCGTGTTGCGTCAGCTTGCTAGGTACGAAGGAGTGCGTTACCCGTTAGCAGCCCGTCTCCTAGATTGCCAAACCTACATCGACGACATTATCGGAGGAACAGACTCGTTGGAGGAAGCCCGTGAGTTGAGGGATCAATTAGTATCGCTGCTAAAATTGGGTGGTTTCGAGTTGCGCAAATGGGCGAGCAACTCCCCCGAGTTATTGAGTTCACTCCCCGCTTCACATCATCAACCCGTTTCCCTATGCGGAGACAACAATCCCAGTTTAAAGGTGTTGGGATTGCAGTGGTGTCCCTTACGGGATGTGTTCTCCTACCGCATCCAAGTAGCGGATAGGACGTGCACAAAAAGGAATATTTTGTCGCAAGTAGCCCAAATATACGATCCCCTAGGTTTTTTATCCCCGGTCGTGTTGACTGCCAAAATTCTCCTACAGAGGCTTTGGTCCCAGGGCGTCGATTGGGGTGCACCTCCCCCCCGCGACATATTCGAAGATTGGAGTTCGTTTTCGTCTCAGCTGGACAGTCTTTCTGGGCTGACAATCCCTCGTCGGGTACTGCCTAGCAATGGCGTCCAGGTGGAGACGCACGGATTTTGTGACGCTTCGGAGCGCGGATACGGTGCAGCCGTGTATCTGCGAAGCGTCAGAGAGGGCCATATCTCTGTCACCCTTCTGTGTGCAAAGAATCGGGTAGCGCCTTTGAAGCGAGTGTCGATCCCCCGTCTGGAGTTGTGCTCAGCGTTACTGCTCGCCCAACTCGTAGATTTCGTCCGATCCACTATAGCCTCTGAGTTGACTATCACGAGAGTATTCGCCTGGAGTGACTCCAAAATTGCGTTGTCTTGGATAAAGTTCTCCCCCCACAGATGGAAAACTTTTGTGGCCAATCGCGTGTCCCTCATTCAGGACATCATTTCCCCCAGTTCCTGGCATCACGTCGCCGGTTCATCCAACCCTGCTGACTGCGCATCCCGAGGGCTTTTCCCCGAGCAAATATTAATCCACCCCTCTTGGTTCTGTGGTCCCCCTTGTTTGCGTCTTCCGGTGGAAGAGTGGCCCACCTCCGACTTCACCCCCGGAGACGATCTGGAACTGGAACGTAAACCAGTGTTGACTTGTGTGTCCACCAATTTAGTTGACTCGCTCGGAGAACTGTTAACCCGTTTCTCGTCGTTACGAAAAATTGAGAGGATCCTGACTTATTGTTGTAGGTTTCTAAATAATTGTCGTACCCCCGTTCATAAGCGAGCGCTTGATAATTTGTCTTTTGCGGACACGTATCACGCCCGCACCTTGCTGACAGGATACGTCCAACGTGAGGTGTTCGCCGGTTTGCTGAAGTGTCTTCGAAACGGTAAACTGTGCCCCAAACCTTTACGCTCCCTAGCGCCCTTTATCGACGAGCACGGTCTCATTCGAGTCGGTGGCAGACTCCGAGGTTCTGCGTTGTCTTTCGACGTAAAACATCCTCTTCTACTACCTCGAGACCATCGCTTTACCGAACTCGTGATCGAAAAGTTCCATAAGAAAAATTGCCACCCGGGCCCCCAATCGTTGTTGTACCAGATTTCACAACAATTCTGGATTTTGTCCGCCCGCAGAGCAATTCGTCACACCCTATCGCAGTGTTACCGATGCTTCCGTGTCTAACCTTCTTGTGTACAGCCATTCATGGCTGATTTACCCCCCGTTCGTGTATCGCAGGTCAAGCCATTCGCGCATACCGGTGTCGATTTCGACGGTCCAATTTCCATTACCCTGGCGCGAAGGCGCGGCGCTAAGACTCAGGCGGCTTACATTTGCCTATTCGTTTGCATGGCTACCAAAGCCATCCATTTGGAATTGGCTTCTGAACTCAGCTCAGACGCATTCTTGGCCGCTTTTCGGCGCTTTGTCGCTCGCCGCGGGCGTTGCACTGACATGTATAGTGATCAGGGTAGAAATTTTGTCGGTGCTAACCAGTTGTTGGTACAGTATTGCCAGCAGTCCGCCGACCAGTGTGAGGTGCGCTGGCACTTCAACCCACCCTCCAGTCCTCACTTTGGAGGTCTTTGGGAGGCCGGCGTCAAGTCGGTAAAGACCCATTTGTTTCGTGTGATAGGCTCTCAAATCCTGACTTTCGAGGAAATGTCGACAGTGTTAACTCAGGTGGAATCCATACTGAATTCCCGCCCATTATGTAGTTTGAGTTCCAACCCAAACGATTTGCATAGCCTTACTCCTGGGCATTTTCTGACCCTGGAGCCCCTATCTGCCCCTCCCGACGACCCTTTAGCTAATCTGAACACTAACAGACTCACTCGTTGGCAGCTCATGCAGCAGTTGCATCAGCACTTCTGGGACAGATGGCATCGGGAATACCTCCACCAGCTGCAGCAACGGCACAAGTGGAACACCACGACTAACCCCCCAAAAGTTGGTCAGTTGGTTTTAATTAAAGACGAGAACCTCCCCCCGTTAAAGTGGCTTCTGGGCCGCATCACGCGCTTGTACCCCAGTTCCGACAAGAAAATTCGCGTTGTGCAAGTACACACGGCCAAAGGCACTTTCGATCGACCTTTGGTCAAATTATCTTTTGTCCCTAACTGTTAACCTGTTCAAGGGGCAACCGTGTATATAGTATAGGATAAGTTTATGGGAAAAATTGGGTATTTTTGGGAGGCCGGAATGTTAAGGGATGAATAACATTTTTCGGTAACTTCATAATTTTTTTTTGTTTTGGGTTAACTTTTTATTTTCGCGCTGTGTATACAACACCCCCACCATACCCAACCTTGGTTAAGCCGCGCGAAAAGACAGACTTGCGTGAGCGTCCGTAGTGCGAACCACGAAAAACTAATCTCTCTTCTGTGACCGGTTCGCGAGAACCCCGCGCTGTGTTGTGGTCCTTACCACCCCCAACCCTCCAGAAAATACCCCTAAGAAGACCCGGCCGGGCAGACGACGACGCGGGAAACCATCAAGGTGGGTGATTAACCGTTTCGGGTGTTGTATGTCCTACCGTTTTCTTGCCGCTCTTTCTCGTTTAAATTTTGAGGGTGATTTACAACCACCTTCCCCCAACCCTTTACATATTGGTCCTTCTCCCCAAATCAGAATCAGTCTTTTGGATTTTTATAGTCATTCACAAACTTTAGTAATTTAAATACATGTTCGCTATCGTGAACAGGTTAGCAAAAAACGTGTAAAGTTTGGAGCGCAAAAAAGCGGTTTAATAAAAAGTGTTTACCGTCGTTTCGAATTGCGGCCTTTTTATTTGATTCGTTCTAAGCATATTTTCTGCGTGCTCAAATTCTTCTTCCTTTTAATTTACGTGGGTACTTTGTTTCGAGACTTAGGAGTGCATTTGTTTACAAAGCGATTTACAATGTCGGAAATGGATAAATTTATTGCTAAGCGGGATTTATCACTTAGACGCGTTACCGATATATTGTTTTGTTTGTGTTTGAGGGTGATTTACAACCACCTTCCCCCAACCCTTTACAATATACTTTATAATTTATCTTGTTCATATTCTATATAATTCCATTTTAGAGTAAATTGTGGAATCTTTCTATAACTGAAAACAAAGAGGTTAGAAACAGTAAATTAAATTTCAGTCAAATAATAATCTTAATACGGCAATCAATAATTAATATTTTCATCAGCAAAAATGTATAATCGAAATTTTCCAGTAAATCAAATTTAAAATTGTAAAACTCTACTAAACATAAAAATTCAATCTAAAAATGATAAATATTTTTAAACATGATTTAATCATTCACCTGATATTTCCTTAATATAAAAGTAACTACAATTCTTTCAATGAAACAGTAATTTTCAGTCGACAAAATTTATAAATTATCTTTACCCATATCCGATTGCATAAAAAGGGAGAAAGCCTCGTATTTTCTGCTTACCGAGTGCTTTGCTTTAACATGAGCAAGATTGGGAGTCTTCGGAACGACCCTGATCGATCGGGATTTAGCGCATGGTAGTACTAGACTAAAGAAGTTGCTAACCTTCTATAGAAAGGGTGGCATTTTGGACGTTCTCTAGAGCGGTCTGGTGGCCTAAATGCTTGGACGCCCACGAGCGCCTCCCTTCAATATCAATACCAATATCCATATCCGATAGAAATCATTTTAAACGAATTATAATGATTCTTGACAATGAAACTTTTAAAAGTTGTGTAATATCAATATATACTTTATAATTTATCTTGTTCATATTCTATATAATTCCATTTTAGGGTAAATTGTGGAATCTTTCTATAACTGAAAAACAAATAGAGGTTAGAAACAGTAATATAAACAATAAGTTTAAACATTACATACCTTTCATTTATTATAGAATATATTAGTTTCTATTTAAAAAACAATCTTCGAGATATATTCTTTACACAATAGAAGATATCTTTGCTGAAATTTAACATGTTTCCAAAATTTTCTATGGTTAGTGTTTGCAAATTGACGTTTTACCATAGATGTATCTCTTATAGATTCTTTATGTATTCTAAGGTTATAAGAATGCATTGACTAATCTCTCAACTATTAATGACATCACAAATCCTCAACATGCCTCAAGAGTAATAGAAACACACATATTCATTGCGACCTAATAATAAAAAATATTTGTAAAAATTAGGCTTATGTTAGTCTTTTTTTTATTCTAATGTAAAATGTATATGTTTTTTTTTTCACTTCCGATTCAACAGGTTTTGTTCTAGTTGTTGTTCTTGTTTGGAGGAGTGTATGTGTGTCTAAATAAAAAAAACACTAAAGATTTTTTTTATTTACATCAACATCGATAATATTTTTAAAATTAAAAAAAAAAACTATGGGACTGATGCGGGCAGAGAGGATGCTAAACTTGCAAAATGTTTAAGTTTTTTTCTGCATTCGTCGGAGTGAAGGCGCGCCACTTGTAACTCGCTCTGCAGCAGGGCAATTTTAGTTTCAGTCTCTTTGATCCGGTCCTCGTTTCGCACCAGCTGCGACTCTAAAACCATTTTCAACTGGAACGCTTCGCATACCACCCTTCTTTCTTCGTCGTCGATAAACGTATCGAACCAACCGGAGGAGGAGGAGGATGAGCCGGTATGCTGCTGCTGCTGCTGCTGCTGAACCGTTTCTTCGCTTTTTCTTTTTTTTTTGTGAGGCTTTGGGGGTGTCGTCGCACTACGACATGTTTACGCAGGTTGAAGCTTTACACTGTGCCCATTCACGGCCTAAAAGGCATGACCAGTCAAACTTCAAAAGGATTAACTCGATGCACCATTAAATCACAAAATCAAGCAACTCCTCTACTTTCGTTCGATGCCATTGTCGTACCACAGCTATGTACTGAGAGACCTGCAATCCAACTCGATAACGCTGGCAGAGAAAATTTAAAAAATCTGGAGTTGGCTGACCGCAATTACCATATTCCCGGTGTTGTAGATCTTGTAATTGGCGATTAACTGGTCAAATCCTACTCGCTGGACGCATCCCAGGTGCGTCCGGTCATCCATCTGCTTTAGAAACTAATAGGAAAGGTACAAAACTAGTTGAATAATTTGTCGACTGTTACGTCATGTTGCAGCAGTATTGGCATAGATACTTATTTTCTGAAATTCTGGGAAGTAGAAAGCATACCGACTAAGCATCCCGCTTCCCCGGAGGACGAAAGGTGTGAGACTATTTTCGCAAATACGACCCGCAGGAACAAGAGTGGTAGATTTATCGCATCCCTACCCTTTAAACACCCAGAATCTTAGCTTGTTGTCGCTGGAAAAGCGTCTTTCTCGAAACCCAGAGCTCTATTCTATGTATCTCGACTTTATGCGCGATTACCTGAAAGATATTTATAAAGGTTCTTGGATTACAATGGAGCCACATCTCCGATGCTTTTTCATACCATTGCCTACCTGGCCTTGCATGTAGATGAATAAAGGGACATCCAGGCCCACATAACCTCACTTTTTGGCTTCCCTGCCACGGCCCCTCCGCCCACGGGTCTTCTTCTTTTACCCTGGACCCATTGGCCACCAGCCCATGGACCACTCGGCCATGGTCTTCTTCTTTTTGTGTTCTGGCCGTTCGCCATAGGTCACTCGCCCAAACCTTACCAAACCGTCGTCAGTGGTGCCAACCGTAGTCCGTGGTGCCAACCAAACCGTTGTCTTTGTCCGTTCGCCCGCGTGCCGTTCGGGGACCCCCGCCATCTCGGGGGGGCTGCCGTGAAAACCCGTCCGTCGTTGAACGGTCACTTTAATGCCGAGCTAATTATGTACCGTCGGTTCCGTCCCGTTGCTGCTAGATGTCGCGCGCGCCGTTCGCCCGCGTGCCGTTCGGTGGCCCCCCGCCCGCGCGGGGGCGTAGCCCCCGATCGTTGTCAGTGGTGCCAAATTAACCAAACCGTGGTGCCAACCTAACCGTGGTCCGTGGTGCCAACCGTCGTCCGTGGTGCCAACCAAGTGACGCAAACGTCACCGGCAGGGAGGCGTAAATAAGATAAGAATATCCGTTGATAATGCTATTAATAAAACATCCGGAACACGCAATAACATTTCAGTTTAATAATGAACGTCACACCGCCGAGAAATTATTTCGTCTACTCCAAAAAAATCGTGTGTTCAAAGTATAATTACGCGCGCAAATACAAATATCAGCTACAACCGTATTGGATAAGCAAAGTAAAACTCCTTGACGTGTGTCCAAAGTGTACCCATCCTACAGTGCATCTTGTGAGATACGACACCCGTCATTACTACTAAAATGACAACCAAAAAACGCGTATTCACCTGTTTTATAAATTGTGATGATATGAAAGAAAAACTGGAAGCAATGCAAGGCCAGGTAGCCTGGTACATCGGCCAACAAGAAACAGGTAGGCTTTCGCAATGAATTTTACGCGAACTATTGAGGACGCTCAAAATTTAATTTTCGCTTTTCGTCAAGTGAACAAGGAGCGAACGGAGGTTAAACCGCCGCGTGCAATGCTCCACCACAGAATCATCTCGGTGTCTTCTACGTCTCTTCTTCGTGTTCGAATGTGGTTGTATCTACCATAGATTCAAATTCGGATGGGCACTGCAGAACCGTATTGGATAACGTCGCAACTGTCAATGACTTCACAAATTTCACGTTAGAATTAAAATATGTCATATTGGTAATTTCACGAATTAGGCAATTATGTGATATTATGTATGATATTATTAGGCAATTACATGCGATGAAATATTAGAAAATTATTGTAGTTTTTTGGTAATTTCGTTAAGATGTTTAAACATCATTATGCAAAAATATCTATTTTTCTTTTACTTTTTCCTTAATTATAATACTTTAGGAAGGGAAGTAATTTATGTAGTAATAAATATTTTTGAATTATTATTTTTTACATAAACGATATTTTATTCTTTATAGTTTTCTTTTATTTCATTTCTTGTCGTCACTTTATGTTCTTAAAAGAAATAAAAAGGAATCTGTAAACAATACCGAATTTGTTTGACAGATTGTGTAGACTTATGTTTTACATTTCTTGTGTTAAACTCGAAAAACTTATTATGTTACATAAAACGAATATAAAAAACTTACTTGTTAAATTGAAATTTATGTCTAAATGAAGTATTTTCTTGGATGACTCGACGAATACTTACAAAGTTTCAATGATCGTTTATTTAATAAAATTGTCTCTCTTTTTTTTATAATTGATGAATGATATTCTTCATAACTAAGTTGTCGGTAGTGACTTATTGTCCACCTAGAAATATATAATAATTTTTACATTTTCATTGAGAGAAATAAATGGAAAATTTTACATTCAAAAAGAAATATTAGAAAATTAGAATTTAAAAAACTTGAATAATTTAAAAAATACATAAATAAATGAAACACATTAAAACACTAATATTTCATATTAAGAATAATAATATAAATATTAAAAGAAAATTAAGATTAATTATCATGTTTTCATTCATTCATTTAAATATATATATTTTTTAATTATTTCTTTTTATTTAGATGATATAAGCCTTTGTAAAATAGTGATGGTAATTTTTTGGATGAAATTATCAGTTGGTTCATGTTCAATAACTGATTGAAGGCATTCCTTATAGGGAAATTGTTAATGATGGTTTGTTTTTAATCTGCAGGATTATAACATGAAAAAAATTTACCGTCAAAAAAGTAAATAAAATATTTTAAATTTATCATGCAATTTTAGTAAATAAATTGAAAATCGTCTATTTGAATACTTACACATATATATGATTCATTTAAATGTTGACAAAAACAATAAAACTAACTTGAATTGTGTAAATAATTATAAAAGATTATATGAAACGTTAATTTTATACCAAATATCAATTACGACTTATAATTTGAACATGATAAAACTTTACCTGTGTTTCTATCCATTTATCCGAATAATATTTTACTTAGATAATTTTTTTCCAAATTGGCAATGATGGTTTTTATTTAAATTTCTTATGATAATTTATCTAGAAGTTATCAGAAGTCGTTTTATTGATAACTCATTGATGATAATTTTTGCTGTTAAACTACCCTCTTCTAAGCGGTTCTTCAATGGTCTAATTTGTTACCTGGGACGTCAGTTTTTTTTTTTAGGGGGTAACCATAGGAAACAAAACGATTATGAATTAGAGGTAATGAAAAATAATATGGCATAAAAATTAAAAATGTTATATTAAATACCTTTAATTTAAAAATTCGTCGACACGTACCCATTTTGACATTTTCTACGTTTAACTGTGTTCGCGTTTACCATAGTTTGAAACTCGGATGGGCATTGTAAAACCGCATCAAATAATCCTACAACTGTTGATGACGTCATAAATTTAAAATTGTCATTATTAATATTAGAATTAAGATTATGTATTATTATTGTTGATTGGATAAATGAAGTAATTATGTACAAAGACATTACAATTTTTGTTAATTTCATCATGATGTTTAGATATTGTTGTTGGAAAATATATTTAAAAGTAATTTGTAATCTTTTACATTATTTTCTTAAAGAAGTAAAAAGGAATCTGTAATTTCGAAATTGCTTGATAAATGGCGTAGATTTATGCTTTGTATATATTTGTTTTTCAGCTTGAAAATATAGGATACTATGTAAAATAATTATTGATTTTAATTTGATATATTTTATAAAATAAATATTAAAGACTTACTTGTTAAATTAAAATTTCTTTATCCAAATAATGTATTTAATTTAATAAAATAATGTATTGTATCAATTATTTGTCGCAAATTCTCAAATTCTATAATCATCACAAATGAAATAAAAATAAATTAGAGGTTATAAAAAATAAAATCACATACGACAAAATATTACAAAAATATTGTATCTTCTTTTACATTTAATGAAAACTATTTTAGTCAAAATGAAAAGATTTTTTATGATAAAACATCTGATTTTTGTATTGCATTAATTATTTTTCCACAAATTCTTAAATCCTGCAACCATCGGAGACAAAACAATAACAAATTAAAGATTATGGAAATTATTATCACATAAAAATTTTAGAGGTTATGAAAAATAATATCGCATAAAAATTAAAAATGTTATATTAAATACCTTTAATTTGTAAAATGTATTTGTTTCTCTTGGAAATAAATCCCAGTGACGCATTTTTTCACGCAATTGACGACGACATGCCATAATTTAAAAATTCGTCGACACGTACCCATTTTGACATTTTCTACGTTTAACTGTGTTCGCGTTTACCATAGTTTGAAACTCGGATGGGCATTGTAAAACCGCATCAAATAATCCTACAACTGTTGATGACGTCATAAATTTAAAATTGTCATAATTAATGTTAGAATTAAGATTATGTAATATTATTGTTGATTGGATAAATGAAGTAATTATATACAAAGGCATTACAATTTTTGTTGATTTCATCATGATGTTTAGGTATTGTTATTGGAAAATATGTTGGAAAATATATTTGAAAGTAATTTGTAATCTTTTACATTATTTTCTTAAAGAAAAAGGAATCCGTAATTTCGAAATTGCTTGATAGATGGTGTAGATTTACGCTTTGTATATATTTGTTTTTCAGCTTGAAAATATAGGATAATATGTAAAATAATTATTGAATTTAATTTGATATATTTTCTAAAATAAATATTAAAGACTTACTTGTTAAATTAAAATTTCTTTATACAAATAATGTATTTAATTTAATAAAATAATGTATTGTACCAATTATTTGTCGCAAATTCTCAAATTCTATAATCATCACAAATGAAATAAAAATAAATTAGAGGTTATAAAAAATAAAATCACATAAAATTTAAAGATTCTATATTAAATACCTGTTATCTGTAAAGTGTATTTATGTCATCAACGATAATATTTTAAAAATTTCATAAATTACACGATTATATACGACCAAATATTAGAAAAATATTGTATCTTCATTTACATTTAATGAAAACTATTTTAGTCAAAATGAAAATATTCTTTATGATAAAACATCTGGTTTTTGTATTGCATTAATTATTTTTCCACAAATTCTTAAATCCTGCAACCATCGGAGACAAAACAATAATAAATTAGGGATTATGGAAATTATTATCACATAAAAATTAAGATTGTTATATTAAATACCTTTTATGTTTCTTTATGAAATAAATTCCAGTAATACGTTCTTTATGCGATCATCAACGATATTTTTAGAATCTTGAAATTTATAGACATGTATGTTTTCTTACCATCATTTGACTGTAGTTGGGTCTATCATAATTTCTAATAATTTGGATGGTGATTTAAAGTAAAAATAACTAAATTTCATTACATTAGATAACAATTTTTAATTAATATAACTTTATGAGACACATTTATTTATCTTTGATTCAAACCATCTCAGTTGAAATGTAACGATTTTTCATGATGATAGTTCCTTGTTTGTATTAATTTTGGAGTTTCATATTTACTGAAAATAAAAAACAATAAATTAAAAGACCTGAAAAACAAAAGTATATTCAAAGTTATTATTTTATGAAATTCATTTTAAAATGTATCTTTAATAACTAATCAATGGTAATGATAATATATTCATTGATAAATTAAAACAATGTTTAATTTTCTTTCTTTCATTATTATAAATTACTAACAATTAAATTTCAGACAAATCATAATCTTAATATGGCAATCAATAATTAATATTTTCATCAGCAAAAATGTATAATCGAAATTTTCCAGTAAATGAAATTTAAAATTGTAAAACTCTACTAAACATAAAAATTCAATCTAAAAATGATAAATATTTTTAAACATGATATAATCATTCACCTGATATTTCCTTGATATAAAAGTAACTACAATTCTTTCAATGAAACAGTAATTTTCAGTCGTCAAAATTTATAAATTATCTTTACCCATATCCGATTGCATAAAAAGGGAGAAAGCCTCGTATTTTCTGCTTACCGAGTGCTTTGCTTTAACATGAGCAAGATTGGGAGTCTTCGGAATGACCCTGATCGATCGGGATTCAGCGCATGGTATTACTAGACTAAAGAAGTTGCTAACCTTCTATAGAAAGGGTGGCATTTTGGACATTCTCTAGAGCGGTCTGGTGGCCTAAATGCTTGGACGCCCACGAGCGCCTCCCTTCAATATCAATACCAATATCCATATCCGATAAAAATCATTTTAAACGAATTATAATGATTCTTGACAATGAAACTTTTAAAAGTTGTGTAATATCAATATATACTTTATAATTTATCTTGTTCATATTCTATATAATTCCATTTTAGGGTAAATTGTGGAATCTTTCTATAACTGAAAAACAAATAGAGGTTAGAAACAGTAATATAAACAATAAGTTTAAACATTACATACCTTTCATTTATTATAGAATATATTAGTTTCTATTTAAAAAACAATCTTCGAGATATATTCTTTATACAATAGAAGATATCTTTGCTGAAATTTAACATGTTTCCAAAATTTTCTATGGTTAGTCTTTGCAAATTGACGTTTTACCATAGATGTAACTCTTATAGATTCTTTATGTATTCTAAGGTTATAAGAATGCATTGAATAATCTCTCAACTATTAATGATATCACAAATCCTCAACATGCCTCAAGAGTAATAGAAACACACATGTTCATTGCGACCTAATAATAAAAAATATTTGTAAAAATTAGGCTTATGTTAGTCTTTTTTTTATTCTAATGTAAAATGTATATGTATTTTTTTTTCACTTCCGATTCAACAGGTGTTGTTCTAGTTGTTGTTGTTGTTTGGAGGAGTGTATGTGTGTCTAAATAAAAAAAACACTAAAGATTTTTTTTATTTACATCAACATCGATAATATTTTTAAAATTAAAAAAAAAACTATGGGATTGATGCGGGCAGAGAGGATGCTAAACTTGCAAAATGTTTAAGTTTTTTTCTGCATTCGTCGGAGTGAAGGCGCGCCACTTGTAACTCGCTCTGCAGCAGGGCAATTTTAGTTTCAGTCTCTTTGATCCGGTCCTCGTTTCGCACCAGCTGCGACTCTAAAACCATTTTCAACTGGAACGCTTCGCATACCAGCCTTCTTTCTTCGTCGTCGATAAACGTATCGAACCAACCGGAGGAGGAAGAGGATGAGCCGGTATGCTGCTGCTGCTGCTGCTGAACCGTTTCTTCGCTTTTTCTTTTTTTTTTGTGAGGCTTTGGGGGTGTCGTCGCACTACGACGTGTTTACGCAGGTTGAAGCTGTGCCCATTCACGGCCTAAAAGGCATGACCAGTCAAACTTCAAAAGGATTAACTCGATGCACCATTAAATCACAAAATCAAGCAACTCCTCTACTTTCGTTCGATGCCATTGTCGTACCACAGCTATGTACTGACAGACCTGCAATCCAACTCGATAACGCTGGCAGAGAAAATTTAAAAAATCTGGAGTTGGCTGACCGCAATTACCATATTCCCGGTGTTGTAGATCTTGTAATTGGCGATTAACTGGTCAAATCCTAGTCGCTGGACGCATCCCAGGTGCGTCCGGTCATCCATCTGCTTTAGAAACTAATAGGAAAGGTACAAAACTCGTTGAATAATTTGTCGACTGTTACGTCATGTTGCAGCAGTATTGGCTTAGATACTTATTTTCTGAAATTCTGGGAAGTAGAAAGCATACCGACTAAGCATCCCGCTTCCCCGGAGGACGAAAGGTGTGAGACTATTTTCGCAAATACGACCCGCAGGAACAAGAGTGGTAGATTTATCGCATCCCTACCCTTTAAACACCCAGAATCTTAGCTTGTTGTCGCTGAAAAAGCGTCTTTCTCGAAACCCAGAGCTCTATTCTATGTATCTCGACTTTATGCGCGATTAAATGGAAGATATTTATAAAGGTTTTTGGATTACAATGGAGCCCCATCTCCGATGCTTTTTCATACCATTGCCTACCTGGCCTTGCATGTAGATGAATAAAGGGACATCCAGGCCCACATAACCTCACTTTTTGGCTTCCCGGCCATGGCCCCCCCGCCCACTGATCTTCTTCTTTCACACAGGACCCATTGGCCACCCGCCCATGGACCACTCTGCCATGGTCTTCTTCTTTTTGTGTTCTGGCCGTTCGCCCATAGGTCACTCGCCCAAACCTTACCAAACCGTCGTCAGTGGTGCCAACCGTGGTCCGTGGTGCCAACCAAACCGTTGTCTTTGTCAGTTCGCCCGCGTGCCGTTCGGGGACCCCACCGGCAGCCCCCCCCGCCATCTCGGGGGGGCTGCCGTGAAAACCCGTCCGTCGTTGAACGGTCACTTTAATGCCGAGCTAATTATGTACAGTCGGTTCCGTCCCGTTGCTGCTAGATGTCGCGCGCGCCGTTCGCCCGCGTGCCGTTCGGGGGCCCCCCGCCCGCACGGGGGCGTAGCCCCCGATCGTTGTCCGTGGTGCCAAATTAACCAAACCGTGGTCCGTGGTGCCAACCTAACCGTGGTCCGTGGTGCCAACCAAGTGACGCAAACGTCACCGGCAGGGAGGCGTACGTACCGAAGGCGCGGGGGACAGGAAATAGATAAGAATATCCGTTGATAATGCTATTCATAAAACATCCGGAACACACAATAACATTTCAGTTTAATAATGAACGTCACACCGCCGAGAAATTATTTCTTCTACTCCAAAAAAATCGTGTGTTCAAAGTGTAATTACGCCCGCAAATACAAATATCAGCTACAACAGTATTGGATAAACAAAGTAAAACTCCTTGACGTGTGTCCAAAGTGTACCCATCCTACAGTGCATCTTGTGAGATACGACACCCATCATTACTACTAAAATGACAACCAAAAAACGCGTATTCACCTGTTTTATAAATGGTGATGATATGAAAGAAAAACTGGAAGCAATGCAAGGCCAGGTAGCCTGGTACATCGGCCAACAAGAAACAGGTAGGCTTTCGCAATGAATTTTACGCGAACTATTGAGGACGCTCAAAATTTAATTTTCGCTTTTCGTCAAGTGAACAAGGAGCGAACGGAGGTTAAAACGCCGCGTGCAATGCTCCACCACAGAATCATCTCGGTGTCTTCTACGTCTCTTCTTCGTTTCGAATGTGGTTGTATCTACCATAGATTCAAATTCGGAAGGGCACTGCAGAACGGTATTGGATAACGTCGCAACTGTCAATGACGTCACAAATTTCACGTTAGAATTAAAATATGTCATATTGGTAATTTCACGAATTTGGCAATTATGTGATATTATGTGTTCGGGAAAACCGAACAAATAAATAAATTCAAATGTTAGACGCCAGGCATGCTGGCAACCCGTGTTACACGGTTGAAGTTATGAGAAAAGGCAAGAAGGGGGAAGCGTCTCCCGTTTGCTGGCAATTAATCGTTTTCATTGAGTTTTCCTTCGATGTTGTTGTGAAAGGATTTATTAATTTTTCTATTCGTAGAGTGAAATCTCGTTTCTGCTTTACGTTAAACGTGTGTTGTACAAAAGGTGATTATAATTTTGGTTATAAACGCAAGGCATGTTGGCGATAATTAGGTCACGTCATTAAAGTGCTTGCGAAAACCTTTTGGAATTTGAATTACCCGGATGTTGCAATCTCAACATTTGTTGGTCGTGTTCGAGCCGGATCAGCGTGAAATAAAGTTCAGTTTGAGTCCAAATCCACAATTCTACAGTCCACTAGTTTCGATGAGCGGAGTCCATTAGTTTCAATGGTTATTTCAAGTTTAGTTCCAGTCCAAGGCCACGATTTGCTGTCCACAGTGTAAGAAAATTGGTCCTAGAACGGAGGAGTCGCTTGGTTTCGAAGCATATGTGAGAAAGTAGTAAGTAGTAGGAGCCCGAGTTCAGTTCCAGTCCAAATTCAAATTTGAAAGTGCATAAGGTGTACGCCGAAGCAGTTCCAGCCGGGAAAAACAAGGTCAGATCCATCCTTTGTTTACAATCTGTTTCTTTTCCATGTAGTGTCGAAGGTGGTACAGTATTTCAAACATTGTTGGTGACTCAAATGACTAGATTTCTCCTCTTTGCAGTTACAGTGTGGTAACTTAATACAATCTTTTCCTAAGAAATTCCTTTTCTCAAGATTTGTGAGTAGAGACACTTTGTTTTATTCCCCAATAATTGTTATTTCTATATTTGTATTTGAATTCAAGTTTGTACAACGAGATTTCCTTTACGTTAATAATCTATAAACTAAATTCTAGATGGAGACCCTAATAAAAAAGAGAGCTTCGGTAAAAGGTACCATTACACGAATTGATAATTGGTTGCAAAACAATGGAGATGTAGCTACATTTGAAGATTTAGAGATTAGATTAAAGGCTTTAGAAACTGCATTCCAAAAGTTCTGTCAAATTCAAGATGAGATCGATATATTATCTGATATAGATGACCTAGAAAGAGCCTCATATGAGGAAAAATATTTTAGTCTCAGTTACAAACAAAAATCAAATTATTCCAAACTGCTCATCAAAATGAAATCCCTTTTAACAGTTCTGAAGTTCAGCCTACAGTTTCACAAACTTCACAAAAAATTCGACTTCCCGAACTAAACATTCCTCAGTTTTCAGGCGATATTACAGGGTGGAATAGTTTTTATCAGATTTTCGAAAAATGCATTATAAATAACTCGGAAATTTCTAACTTCGACAAATTAGTTTATCTGAAATCTTACTTGCTTGGTGAAGCACTTAGCTTGATAGAAAGTCTTACTTTAGAAGGTTCAAATTTTGACACAGCAATTAATATTCTTAAAAAAAAGGTATGATAAACAACTTCCAATGGTGTATGCGCATTTTCAGAGTTTGCTAGATAGTCCCTCCTTAAGAAAGACTCATTCCATGAATTCTAGACAGTATCTGAGTTTTATAACCCAAAACATAAATTCAATTAAAAATTTGAAAGGGGATACATGGGACTTGACCATTATTTATATTTGTTCCTTGGGTCTAGATTCCACTACTCGTAGAGCTTTTGACCAAGAAATTGATCCTCAAACATTTCCTACACTAGACAAGTTTTTGAAGTTTTTAGAGAAAAGGTGTGACTTAATGGAGAATGCAGAAATTCCCGATTTAAATAAAGGCAAAGGTCAGAGAAGACCGCAAAGTTTTCACAACGTTCATGTTTGCCAAAACATTTCAGACAATCGACCATCTTTCTCCACCCAGAAAGGCAGAGCTTCCTCCCCGAATAACAATAAAATTAGTCATCTTTCGGCACAATCAAATAGTAAACGCTGTTTATATTGCAAAATTTCTGGTCACACGATTTATAAATGTCAAACCTTTAGTCAGTTGAGTAATCAATAGAAAACGGATTTTGTAAAAAACGAAAAATTATGTTTCAATTGCCTCGCATATGGTCATTCTGTTAAAAATTGTAAATCCACTGGTTGCATGGTACGTTCTTGTTGAAGATTTCACCACACATTAATGCATAGTGACGCTAATTATTCTCAAAATGAAAATTTACATTTTTCTAATCGTGACCATTTAGACTCAAACATAATAATGAAAATATGAATTCCCAGTATAGATCGCGCTTTATTTCGAGAGCAAGTAATTGTTCTAATTCAAATGAGAACATTCAGACTTCAAGAGGGCAACCTTTAAATCAAAGAAATTGACTAATAGAGTCTCATACAATCGATCAGCCTTCTTACACCGAACCTCTTCAAAATTTCGAACAATTAGTATACTCCACGAATTTACAGGGTTATGAAGTTCTTTTAGCTACAGCTATAGTAAGGACTTTGAGTTACAATGGTAAACATTGCAATATAAGGGCAGTACTTGATTCATGTAGTACCACCAGCTTGTGCTCAAATTCTTGAGTTAAACAACTTAAGTTAATTCCACAAAGAGAAACAATTAAAATTAGTGGAGTAGGAGAAAGCATTATGCGAGCTAATGAAGTGGTAACGTTCACAATTTACTCAGTTTTCAGAGACAATTTTCATGTACAAGTTAAATGTCTGATTTTAGAAAAAATAACTAGAAAACTTCCACAAGTTCTGCTAGACAGAGACAAAATTAAAATTCCAAAAAATATTAGGCTAGCAGATCCAGAGTTCTTCATCCCTTCTCAAGTAGATTTGCTTCTAGGCACTGACGTTTATTATCAATTATTAACGGGGCGTATTATTCGAATTCGTGATAGCTTCCTTACACTCGACACAAAACTAGGTCACATAATTGGAGGACCCCTTCCTAGCGAATGTATTTCATACATTGAAAGTTCTAATGAGATTTCAGAACCTGAAACATCCTTATCCACTTATCATTCTGCTACAGATTCCTTGCTTCAAAATTTCTGGAAAATAGAAGAAGTCTTTTCTCAAATTAAGATTTGATCCCCGGAGAATGAGTTAGCTGAACAAAATTTTCTAAATTCATTCAAGATTCTTCCAAGTGGTTCGTTTCAAGTAAATCTTCCTTTAAAGAGTCCCACTGAGCACTTAAAACTTGGTGATTCATTTTGGTTGGCAAAAAGGAGATTTCTAAATTTAGAAAAACGGTTTGAGAGAAATCCAGAGCTTTTCACAATGTATAAATGTTTCATAGATGAGTATATTTCCCTTGGCCATGCTAAGTATATTCCACTTCAATATCAAAATGAAAATGGTTATAATAAATACTTCCTGCCACACCATTGTGTCCTGAGAGATGAAAGTACTAGTACAAGGTTGAGAGTGGTGTTTGATGCTTCAATGAAGACCTCCAGCGGAGTTTCGTTAAATGATATAATGTTCAAAGGGTTTTCCGTGCAACCTGAGTTGTTTGACATTCTGGTTCGATTCCGAAGTTCAAGATATGTACTAACTTGTGACATCGTAAAAATGTTCCGTAAGATTTTTGTTTCTCCAGAGCAAACTTTTCTGCAGAATATCTTGTGGCGCGATAATTCCAATGATCCTCTTAGGTGTATAGAGCTCCTTACAGTAACGTATGGTACTAACAGTGCTCCATTCTTGGCTACTCGTACAATAAAGGATCTTGCAATTCGAAACAAGGAAAAATTTCCATTAGCTGCTAATGCAGTTCTTCAGCAGTGCTACGTTGATGACATCCTCGCAACAATTGGTTCTTATGAAAATCTAAAGGAGACTCACAGACAGCTAATTTCACTTTTTAACTCCGCTAATATTGAGCTTCATAAATGGTCATCCAACAGTAGTAAATTTTTGAAGTCCAGTATTCACAACAACACTCAAGAGGTGTATAATATTAAATCTGAAGGTTGTTCAAGTAAGGTTTTGGGTATTGCATGGGATCCCACCAGTGACCAATTTACAATTACTCTTCCGAAGAAAGCAGAGAAAGGTCATACTACCAAAAGGCACATTCTCTCTCAGATTGCTCAACTTTTCGATCCATTAGGACTCGTTGCTCCCGTTATTATCTTGGCAAAAATTTTCATGCAGAAGATCTGGATTTCTAAAATTGACTGGGATGAAAACCTCACCCCTGAGCTTCTTTCAGAATGGGTACAATTTGAAAATTCCCAGATGTATATTTTCTTCAGGTCAGTTTTATAGAGCCGAACTGCATGGGTTCTGCGACGCAAGTCTGAAGGCCTATGGTGCTGCAATCTATGTTCGAGCATTGTATCCAGATGGTACTGTTTCTTGTAATTTGGTAACATCTAAGAGTCGGGTAGCACCAATTAAAACAATCACCCTACCTCGTCTTGAGCTCTGTGGAGCACTCCTCCTAGCTAACCTAACGTCAAAGATTCTTTCAGTTCTAAGTAATGAGACCTCCTTTCATAGTGTAAATCTTTATACCGATTCTCAGATAGTATTGTGTTGGATAAATTCTCATTCTTCCAGATGGTCTATTTTCGTATCAAATCGAGTTTCAGAAATTCAACGACTAACGTCGGGCTTTCATTGGAGACATATTTCTTCGTCAAACAATCCTGCTGATCTTCTTTCTAGAGGGATGACTCCAAATGAGATTCTACATTCAGAGTTCTGGTTCAATGGTCCAAATTTCCTAAGAAATACTGAATTAAATCTTAAGGATTTTGATTTCACAGGGACCTCATTCATAAATATTCCAGAAGAAAGAAAGGTGAAAACTGTACTCCATTTTATCAGAGGGGATCCAAATACAGAATTTTGGAATTCAATCTTCTCCAGGTACTCTTCCTTTTTGAAACTACAGAGAGTTATTGCGTCATGTTTACGGTTTGTTAATAACGCTCATCCGAAACGTTCCAAATTTGTTGGTCCACTTAAGGTTGATGAAATTCAAGGAGCTTTGTTACTCATTGTGAAAATTCTTCAAGAGCAAAATTTCGTTCAAGAGTTACGCGAGTTAAGGTCCAATAAGGTAATTTCCAATAAGGTTCTTCTTAGATTATCTCCTTTTATAGACAATTCTGGACTCCTGAGAGTGGGAGGTAGGTTGGCATATGCGGACTTGCCTTATGAACAAAGGCATCCGTTGCTACTTCCATCCAAAAATCTAGTTGTTTCATTAATGCTAAGGGAGGAACATCTGAAACTTTCCCATGCAGGTGCGCAGACGGTTCTTTCCAACTTTCGCTTAAGATTCTGGCCTCTTGGAGGCCTAACAGAAATTAAACGGATAATTCGTAAGTGCGTCATATGTTATAGATTCAAGGCACAATCCTGCCAACAAATAATGGCTAATCTTCCGATAATTCGCACGCAACCCTTTAGACCATTTTCCAAGGTGGGGGTAGATTTAGGAGGCCCATTCTTTACTAAGTCTTCTAAAATGAAAAGAGCTTCCCTAAATAAATCTTACATCTGTGTGTTCGTTTGTATGGTCACCAAGGCTGTACATATAGAACTAGTTTCGAATCTTTCTACAGATGCATTCATTATGACACTTAAGAGATTTATTTCCCGCAGAGGTTGTCCTTCAGTGATATATAGTGACAATCCCACAAATTTCTTAGGTTCCCGCAATCAACTAAAGGAAGTGTATGATTTCTTCAGAAATGAACAAATTTCTGCGTCCATAGAAAATTTCCTTGTTACTAGAGAGATTAATTGGAAGTTTATTCCACCGAAGAGTCCACATCATGGCGGCTTATGGGAGGCAGCCATAAAGAGTACTAAATATTATTTGCAACGAATAGCTGGCAATTCTCATTTTACATTCGAAGAGCTTACCACCATTCTTACACAAATAGAAGCCATTCTAAATTCGCGACCGCTTCAACCAATTTCTACTGACTCTAGTGACTGTACGTGTCTAACACCTGGTCATTTTCTAATCGGAAATAGCTTAACGTCCTTTCCAGATAAAGATGTGTCTGACATTGCTGAAAATAGACTTTCGCGGTATGAACGTTGTACTCAAGCTCAACAGGTTTTTTGGAAACGATGGTCCAAGGAGTATCTTAATTTGCTTCAAAACAAACCGAAGTGGCTACGTCCCATTCGAAACTTAAAGGTCAACGACGTAGTCTTATTTAAGGAAGACAACCTGAAACCCCTAGAATGGCCACTAGCCAGAGTAATAGAGATATTCCCAAGTCTTGACGGTAAGGTGCGAACAGTCAAAATTAAAACTAAAAATGCTACATACATCAGAAGCATTACCAAGGTATGTCTCCTACCAAATGATGAAAATGAGCTTGCTCATTAAATTAGTTTGAAAGCAAGGCTTTCAACGCGGGGCAGGATGTTCGGGAAAACCGAACAAATAAATAAATTCAAATGTTAGACGCCAGGCACGCTGGCAACCCGTGTTACACGGTTGAGGTTATGAGAAAAGGCAAGAAGGGGGAAGCCTCTCCCGCTTGCTGGCAATTAATCGTTTTCATTGAGTTTTCCTTCGATGTTGTTGTGAAAGGATTTATTAATTTTTCTATTCGTAGAGTGAAATCTCGTTCCTGCTTTACGTTAAACGTGTGTTGTACAAAAGGTGATTATAATTTTGGTTATAAACGCAAGGCATACCATGTTGGCGATAATTAGGTCACGTCATTAAAGTGCTTGCGAAAACCTTTTGGACTTTGAATTACCCGAATGTTGCAACCTCAACATTATGTATGATATTATTAGGCAATTACATGCGATGAAATATTAGAAAATTATTGTAGTTTTTTGGTAATTTCGTGAAGATGTTTAAACATCATTAAGCAAAAATATATCGAAAAAATAATCTGTACTTATCCGCATTATTATTGTTTCTTTTACTTTTTCATTAATTATAATACTTTAGGAAGGGAAGTAATTTATGTAGTAATAAATATTTTTAATATCACATGTGATATTCACTTGAATTATTATTTTTTAAATAAACGATATTTTATTCTTTATACTTTTCTTTTATTTCATTTCTTATCGTCACTTTATGTTCTTAAAAGAAATAAAAAGGAATCTGTAAACAATACCGAATTTGTTTGACAGATTGTGTAGACTTATGTTTTACATTTCTTGTGTTAAACTCGAAAAACTTATTATGTTACATAAAACGAATATAAAAAACTTACTTGTTAAATTGAAATTTATGTCTAAATGAAGTATTTTCTTGGATGACTCGACGAATACTTACAAAGTTTCAATGATCGTTTATTTAATAAAATTGTCTCTTTTTTTTTATAATTGATGAATGATATTCTTCATAACTAAGTTGTCGGTAGTGATTTATTGTCCACCTAGAAATATATAATAATTTATAAATTTTCATTGAGAGAAATAAATGGAAAATTTAACATTCAAAAAGAAATATTAGAAAATTAAAATTTAAAAAACTTGAATAATTTAAAAAATACATAAATAAATGAAACACATTAAAACACTAATATTTCATATTAAGAATAATAATATAAATATTAAAAGAAAATTAAGATTAATTATCATGTTTTCATTCATTCATTTAAATATATATATTTTTTAATTATTTCTTTTTATTTAGATGATATAAGCCTTTGTAAAATAGTGATGATAATTTTTTGGATGAAATTATCAGTTGGTCCATGTTCAATAACTGATTGAAGGCATTCCTTATAGGGAAATTGTTAATGATGGTTTGTTTTTTATCTGCAGGATTATAACATGAAAAAAATTTACCGTCAAAAAAGTAAATAAAATATTTTAAATTTATCATGCAATTTTAGTAAATAAATTGAAAATCGTCTATTTGAAATACTTACACATATATATGATTCATTTAAATGTTGACAAAAACAATAAAACTAACTTGAATTGTGTAAATAATTTTAAAAGATTATATGAAAAGTTAATTTTATACCAAATATCAATTACGACTTATAATTTGAACATGATAAAACTTTACCTGTGTTTATATCCATTTATCCGAATAATATTTTACTTGGATAATTTTTTTTCCAAATTGGCAATGATGGTTTTTATTTAAATTTCTTATGATAATTTCTCTAGAAATTATCAGAAGTCGTTTTATTGATAACTCATTGATGATAATTTTTGCTGTTAAACTACCCTCTTCTAAGCGGTTCTTCAATGGTCTAATTTGTTACCTGGGACGTCAGCTTTTTTTTATAGGGGATAGTGAAACATCTAGTTCTTGTATCAATTCTCTTTCTGCAAATTTTTTGAATCCTGTAACCATAGGAAACAAAACGATTATGAATTAGAGGTTATGAAAAATAATAAGGCATAAAAATTAAAAATGTTATATTAAATACCTTTAATTTAAAAATTCGTCGACATGTACCCATTTTGACATTTTCTACGTTTAACTGTGTTCGCGTTTACCATAGTTTGAAACTCGGATGGGCATTGTAAAACCGCATCAAATAATCCTACAACTGTTGATGACGTCATAAATTTAAAATTGTCATTATTAATATTAGAATTAAGATTATGTATTATTATTGTTGAGGCATTACAATTTTTGTTAATTTCATCATGATGTTTAGATATTTTATTGGAAAATATATTTAAAAGTAATTTGTAAACTTTTACATTATTTTCTTAAAGAAGTAAAAAGGAATCTGTAATTTCGAAATTGCTTGATAAATGGCGTAGATTTACGCTTTGTATATATTTGTTTTTCAGCTTGAAAATATAGGATACTATGTAAAATAATTATTGATTTTAATTTGATATATTTTATAAAATAAATATTAAAGACTTACTTGTTAAATTAAAATTTCTTTATCCAAATAATGTATTTAATTTAATAAAATAATGTATTGTATCAATTATTTGTCGCAAATTCTCAAATTCTATAATCATCACAAATGAAATAAAAATAAATTAGAGGTTATAAAAAATAAAATCACATAAAATTTAAAGATTCTATATTAAATACCTGTTATCTGTAAAGTGTATTTATGTCATCAACGATAATATTTTAAAAATTTCATAAATTACACGATTATATACGACCAAATATTAGAAAAATATTGTATCTTCATTTACATTTAATGAAAACTATTTTAGTCAAAATGAAAATATTCTTTATGATAAAACATCTGGTTTTTGTATTGCATTAATTATTTTTCCACAAATTCTTAAATCCTGCAACCATCGGAGACAAAACAATAATAAATTAGGGATTATGGAAATTATTATCACATAAAAATTAAGATTGTTATATTAAATACCTTTTATGTTTCTTTATGAAATAAATTCCAGTAATACGTTCTTTATGCGATCATCAACGATATTTTAAGAATCTTGAAATTTATAGACATGTATGTTTTCTTACCATCATTTGACTGTAGCTGAGTCTATCATAATTTCTAATAATTTGGATGGTGATTTAAGGTAAAAATAACTAAATTTCATTACATTAGATAACAATTTTTAATTAATATAACTTTATGAGACACATTTATTTACCTTTGATTCAAACCATCTCAGTTGAAATGTAACGATTTTTCATGATGATAGTTCCTTGTTTGTATTAATTTTGGAGTTTCATATTTACTGAAAATAAAAAACAATAAATTAAAAGACCTGAAAAACAAAAGTATATTCAAAGTTATTATTTTATGAAATTCATTTTAAAATGTATCTTTAATAACTAATCAATGGTAATCCTTATATATTCATTGATAAATTAAAACAATGTTCAATTTTCTTTCTTTCATTATTATAAATTACTAACAATTAAATTTCAGACAAATAATAATCTTAATATGGCAATCAATAATTAATATTTTCATCAGCAAAAATGTATAATCGAAATTTTCCAGTAAATGAAATTTAAAATTGTAAAACTCTACTAAACACAAAAATTCAATCTAAAAATGATAAATATTTTTAAACATGATTTAATCATTCACCTGATATTTCCTTGATATAAAAGTAACTACAATTCTTTCAATGAAACAGTAATTTTCAGTCGACAAAATTTTATAAATTATCTTTACCCATATCCAATTGCATAAAAAGGGAGAAAGCCTCGTATTTTCTGCTTACCGAGTGCTTTGCTTTAACATGAGCAAGATTGGGAGTCTTCGGAATGACCCTGATCGATCGGGATTCAGTGCATGGTATTACTAGACTAAAGAAGTTGCTAACCTTCTATAGAAAGGGTGGCATTTTGGACGTTCTCTAGAGCGGTCTGGTGGCCTAAATGCTTGGACGCCCACGAGCGCCTCCCTTCAATATCAATACCAATATCCATATCCGATAAAAATCATTTTAAACGAATTATAATGATTCTTGACAATGAAACTTTTAAAAGTTGTGTAGTATCAATATATACTTTATAATTTATCTTGTTCATATTCTATATAATTCCATTTTAGAGTAAATTGTGGAAGCTTTCTATAACTGAAAACAAAGAGGTTAGAAACAGTAAATTAAATTTCAGTCAAATAATAATCTTAATATGGCAATCAAAAATTAATATTTTCATCAGCAAAAATGTATAATCGAAATTTTCCAGTAAATGAAATTTAAAATTGTAAAACTCTACTAAACATAAAAATTCAATCTAAAAATGATAAATATTTTTAAACATGATTTAATCATTCACCTGATATTTCCTTAATATAAAAGGAACTACAATTCTTTCAATGAAACAGTAATTTTCAGTCACAAAATTTATAAATTATCTTTACCCATATCCGATTGCATAAAAAGGGAGAAAGCCTCATATTTTCTGCTTACCGAGTGCTTTGCTTTAACATGAGCAAGATTGGGAGTTTTCGGAACGACCCTGATCGATCGGGATTCAGCGCATGGTATTACTAGACTAAAGAAGTTGCTAACCTTCTATAGAAAGGGTGGCATTTTGGACGTTCTCTAGAGCGGTCTGGTCGCCTAAATGCTTGGACGCCCACGAGCGCCTCCCTTCAATATCAACACCAATATCCATATCCGATAAAAATCATTTTAAACGAATTATAATGATTCTTGACAATGAAACTTTTAAAAGTTGTGTAATATCAATATATACTTTATAATTTATCTTGTTCATATTCTATATAATTCCATTTTAGGGTAAATTGTGGAATCTTTCTATAACTGAAAAACAAATAGAGGTTAGAAACAGTAATATAAACAATAAGTTTAAACATTACATATCTTTCATTTATTATAGAATATATTAGTTTCTATTTAAAAAACAATCTTCGAGATATATTCTTTATACAATAGAAGATATCTTTGCTGAAATTTAACATGTTTCCAAAATTTTCTATGGTTGGTGTTTGCAAATTGACGTTTTACCATAGATGTATCTCTTATAGATTCTTTATGTATTCTAAGGTTATAATGCATTGAATAATCTCTCAACTATTAATGACATCACAAATCCTCAACATGCCTCAAGAGTAATAGAAACACACATATTCATTGCGACCTAATAATAAAAAATATTTGTAAAAATTAGGCTTATGTTAGTCTTTTTTATATTCTAATGTAAAATGTATATGTATTTTTTTTTCACTTCCGAGTCAACAGGTTTTGTTCTAGTTGTTGTTGTTGTTTGGCGGAGTGTATGTGTGTCTAAATAAAAAAAACACTAAAGATTTTTTTTATTTACATCAACATCGATAATATTTTTAAAATTAAAAAAAAAAAACTATGGAATTGATGCGGGCAGAGAGGATGCTAAACTTGCAAAATGTTTAAGTTTTTTTCTGCATTCGTCGGAGTGAAGGCGCGCCACTTGTAACTCGCTCTGCAGCAGGGCAATTTTAGTTTCAGTCTCTTTGATCCGGTCCTCGTTTCGCACCAGCTGCGACTCTAAAACCATTTTCAACTGGAACGCTTCGCATACCAGCCTTCTTTCTTCGTCGTCGATAAACGTATCGAACCAACCGGAGGAGGAGAAGGATAAGCCGGTATGCTGCTGCTGCTGCTGCTGAACCGTTTCTTCGCTTTTTCTTTTTTTTTGTGAGGCTTTGGGGGTGTCGTCGCACTACGACATGTTTACGCAGGTTGAAGCTTTACACTGTGCCCATTCACGGCCTAAAAGGCATGACCAGTCAAACTTCAAAAGGATTAACTCGATGCACCATTAAATCACAAAATCAAGCAACTCCTCTACTTTCGTTCGATGCCATTGTCGTACCACAGCTATGTACTGACAGACCTGCAATCCAATAACGCTGGCAGAGAAAATTTAAAAAATCTGGAGTTGGCTGACCGCAATTACCATATTCCCGGTGTTGTAGATCTTGTAATTGGCGATTAACTGGTCAAATCCTACTCGCTGGACGCATCCCAGGTGCGTCCGGTCATCCATCTGCTTTAGAAACTAATAGGAAAGGTACAAAACTCGTTGAATAATTTGTCGACTGTTACGTCATGTTGCAACAGTATTGGCTTAGATACTTATTTTCTGAAATTCTGGGAAGTAGAAAGCATACCGACTAAGCATCCCGCTTCCCCGGAGGACGAAAGGTGTGAGACTATTTTCGCAAATACGACCCGCAGGAACAAGAGTGGTAGATTTATCGCATCCCTACCCTTTAAACACCCAGAATCTTAGCTTGTTGTCGCTGGAAAAGCGTCTTTCTCGAAACCCAGAGCTCTATTCTATGTATCTCGACTTTATGCGCGATTACCTGGAAGATATTTATAAAGGTTCTTGGATTACAATGGAGCCCCATCTCCGATGCTTTTTCATACCATTGCCTACCTGGCCTTGCATGTAGATGAATAAAGGGACATCCATGCCCACATAACCTCACTTTTGGCTTCCCGGCCGCGGGCCCACCGCCCACGGGTCTTCTTCCTTCACACTGGACCTATTGGCCACCCGCCCATGTGCTTCTTCTTTTTGTGTTCTGGCCGTTCGTCCATAGGTCACTCGCCCATTAACCATACGCCCTAACCTTACCAAACCGTCGTCAGTGGTGCCAACCAAAACGTTGTCTTTGTCCGTTCGCCAGCGTGCCGTTCGGGGACCCCACCGGCAGCCCCCCCGCCATCTCGAGGGGGCTGCCGTGAAAACCCGTCCGTCGTTGAACGGTCACTTTAATGCCGAGCTAATTATGTACCGTCGGTTCCGTCCCGTTGCTGCTAGATGTCGCGCGCGCCGTTCGGGGGCCCGATCGTTGTCAGTGGTGCCAATTTAACCAAACCGTGGTGCCAACCTAACCGTGGTGCCAACCGTCGTCCGTGGTGCCAACCAAACCGTTGTTAGTGGTGCCAACCAAGTGACGCAAACGTCACCGGCAGAGAGGCGTACGTGCCGAAGGCGCGGGGGACAGGAAATAGATAAGAATATCCGTTGATAATGCTATTAATAAAACATCCGGAACACACAATAACATTTCAGTTTAATAATGAACGTCACACCGCCGAGAAATTATTTCGTCTACTCCAAAAAAATCGTGTGTTCAAAGTGTAATTACGCGCGCAAATACAAATATCAGCTACAACCGTATTGGATAAACAAAGTAAAACTCCTTGACGTGTGTCCAAAGTGTACCCATCCTACAGTGCATCTTGTGAGATACGACACCCGTCATTACTACTAAAATGACAACCAAAAAACGCGTATTCACCTGTTTTATAAATGGTGATGATATGAAAGAAAAACTGGAAGCAATGCAAGGCCAGGTAGCCTGGTACATCGGCCAACAAGAAACAGGTAGGCTTTCGCAATGAATTTTACGCGAACTATTGAGGACGCTCAAAATTTAATTTTCGCTTTTCGTCAAGTGAACAAGGAGCGAACGGAGGTTAAACCGCCGCGTGAAATGCTCCACCACAGAATCATCTCGGTGTCTTCTACGTCTCTTCTTCGTTTCGAATGTGGTTGTATCTACCATAGATTCAAATTCGGAAGGGCACTGCAGAACCGTATTAGATAACGTCGCAACTGTCAATGACGTCACAAATTTCACGTTTCAATTAAAATATGTCATATTGGTAATTTCACGAATTAGGCAATTGTGATATTATGTATGATATTATTAGGCAATTACATGCGATGAAATATTAGAAAATTATTGTAGTTTTTTGGTAATTTCGTTAAGATGTTTAAACATCATTATGCAAAAATATATCGAAAAAATATATTTAAAAACAATCTGTACTTATCCGCATTATTATTGTTTCTTTTACTTTTTCCTTAATTATAATACTTTAGGAAGGGGAGTAATTTATGTAGTAATAAATATTTTTAATATCACATGTGATATTCACTTAAATTATTATTTTTTAAATAAACGATATTTTATTCTTTATAGTTTTCTTTTATTTCATTTCTTGTCGTCACTTTATGTTCTTAAAAGAAATAAAAAGGAATCTGTAAACAATACCGAATTTGTTTGACAGATTGTGTAGACTTATGTTTTACATTTCTTGTGTTAAACTCGAAAAAATTATTATGTTACATAAAACGAATATAAAAAACTTACTTGTTAAATTGAAATTTATGTCTAAATGAAGTATTTTCTTGGATGACTCGACGAATACTTACAAAGTTTCAATGATCGTTTATTTAATAAAATTGTCTCTTTTTTTTTTTATAATTGATGAATGATATTCTTCATAACTAAGTTGTCGGTAGTGATTTATTGTCCACCCAGAAATATATAATAATTTTTAAATTTTCATTGAGAGAAATATATGGAAAATTTTACATTCAAAAAGAAATATTAGAAAATTAAAATTTAAAAAACTTGAATAATTTAAAAAATACATAAATAAATGAAACACATTAAAACACTAATATTTCATATTAAGAATAATAATATAAATATTAAAAGAAAATTAAGATTAATTATCATGTTTTCATTCATTCATTTAAATATATATATTTTTTAATTATTTCTTTTTATTTAGATGATATAAGCCTTTGTAAAATAGTGATGGTAATTTTTTGGATGAAATTATCAGTTGGTCCATGTTCAATAACTGATTGAAGGCATTCCTTATAGGGAAATTGTTAATGATGGTTTGTTTTTTATCTGCAGGATTATAACATAAAAAAAATTTACCGTCAAAAAAGTAAATAAAATATTTTAAATTTATCATGCAATTTTAGTAAATAAATTGAAAATCGTCTATTTGAATACTTACACATATATATGATTCATTTAAATGTTGACAAAAACAATAAAGCTAACTTGAATTGTGTAAATAATTTTAAAAGATTATATGAAACGTTAATTTTATACCAAATATCAATTACGACTTATAATTTGAACATGATAAAACTTTACCTGTGTTTTTATCCATTTATCCGAATAATATTTTACTTGGATAATTTTTTTCCAAATTGGCAATGATGGTTTTTATTTAAATTTCTTATGATAATTTCTCTAGAAGTTATCAGAAGTCGTTTTATTGATAACTCATTGATGATAATTTTTGCTGTTAAACTACCCTCTTCTAAGCGGTTCTTCAATGGTCTAATTTGTTACCTGGGACGTCAGCTTTTTTTTTTAGGGGGTAGTGAAACATCTAGTTCTTGTATCAATTCTCTTTCTGCAAATTTTTTGAATCCTGTAACCATAGGAAACAAAACGATTATGAATTAGAGGTAATGAAAAATAATATGGCATAAAAATTAAATATGTTATACCTTTAATTTAAAAATTCGTCGACATGTACCCATTTTGACATTTTCTACGTTTAACTGTGTTCGCGTTTACCATAGTTTGAAACTCGGATAGGCATTGTAAAACCGCATCAAATAATCCTACAACTGTTGATGACGTCATAAATTTAAAATTGTCATTATGTATTATTATTGTTGATTGGATAAATGAAGTAATTATGTACAAAGGCATTACAATTTTTGTTAATTTCATCATCATCAAGTTTAGATATTTTATCGGAAAATATATTTAAAAGTAATTTGTAATCTTTTACATTATTTTCTTAAAGAAGTAAAAAGGAATCTGTAATTTCGAAATTGCTTGATAAATGGCGTAGATTTACGCTTTGCATATATTTGTTTTTCAGCTTGAAAATATAGGATACTATGTAAAATAATTATTGATTTTAATTTGATATATTTTATAAAATAAATATTAAAGACTTACTTGTTAAATTAAAATTTCTTTATCCAAATAATGTATTTAATTTAATAAAATAATGTATTCTATCAATTATTTGTCGCAAATTCTCAAATTCTATAATCATCACAAATGAAATAAAAATAAATTAGAGGTTATAAAAAATAAAATCACATACGACGAAATATTACAAAAATATTGTATCTTCATTTACATTTAATGAAAACTATTTTAGTCAAAATGAAAAGATTCTTTATGATAAAACATCTGATTTTTGTATTGCATTAATTATTTTTCCACAAATTCTTAAATCCTGCAACCATCGGAGACAAAACAATAATAAATTAAAGATTATGGAAATTATTATCACATAAAAATTTTAGAGGTTATGAAAAATAATATCGCATAAAAATTAAAAATGTTATATTAAATACCTTTAATTTGTAAAATGTATTTGTTTCTCTTGGAAATAAATCCCAGTGACGCATTTTTTCACGCAATTGACGACGACATGCCATAATTTAAAAATTCGTCGACACGTACACATTTTGACATTTTCTACGTTTAACTGTGTTCGCGTTAACCATAGTTTGAAACTCGGAAGGGCATTGTAAACCCGCATCAAATAATCCTAAAACTGTTGATGACGTCATAAATATAAAATTGTCATAATTAATATTAGAATTAAGATTATGTAATATTATTGTTGATTGGATAAATGAAGTAATTATATACAAAGGCATTACAATTTTTGTTGATTTCATCATGATGTTTAGGTATTGTTATTGGAAAATATGTTGGAAAATATATTTGAAAGTAATTTGTAATCTTTTACATTATTTTCTTAAAGAAAAAGGAATCTGTAATTTCGAAATTGCTTGATAGATGGTGTAGATTTACGCTTTGTATATATTTGTTTTTCAGCTTGAAAATATAGGATAATATGTAAAATAATTATTGAATTTAATTTGATATATTTTCTGAAATAAATATTAAAGACTTACTTGTTAAATTAAAATTTCTTTATCCAAATAATGTATTTAATTTAATAAAATAATGTATTGTACCAATTATTTGTCGCAAATTCTCAAATTCTATAATCATCACAAATGAAATAAAAATAAATTAGAGGTTATAAAAAATAAAATCACATCAAATTTAAAGATTCTATATTAAATACCTGTTATCTGCAAAGTGTATTTATGTCATCAACGATAATATTTTAAAAATTTCATAAATTACACGATTATATACGACCAAATATTAGAAAAATATTGTATCTTCATTTACATTTAATGAAAACTATTTTAGTCAAAATGAAAATATTCTTTATGATAAAACATCTGGTTTTTGTATTGCATTAATTATTTTTCCACAAATTCTTAAATCCTGCAACCATCGGAGACAAAACAATAATAAATTAGGGATTATGGAAATTATTATCACATAAAAATTAAGATTGTTATATTAAATACCTTTTATGTTTCTTTATAAAATAAATTCCAGTAATACGTTCTTTATGCGATCATCAACGATATTTTTAGAATCTTGAAATTTATAGACATATATGTTTTCTTACCATCATTTGACTGTAGTTGGGTCTATCATAATTTCTAATAATTTGGATGGTGATTTAAGGTAAAAATAACTAAATTTCATTACATTAGATAACAATTTTTAATTAATATAACTTTATGAGACACATTTATTTATCTTTGATTCAAACCATCTCAGTTGAAATGTAACGATTTTTCATGATGATAGTTCCTTTTTGTATTAATTTTGGAGTTTCATATTTACTGAAAATAAAAAACAATAAATTAAAAGACCTGAAAAACAAAAGTATATTCAAAGTTATTATTTTATGAAATTCATTTTAAAATGTATCTTTAATAACTAATCAATGGTAATCCTTATATATTCATTGATAAATTAAAACAATGTTCAATTTTCTTTCTTTCATTATTATAAATTACTAACAATTAAATTTCAGACAAATAATAATCTTAATATGGCAATCAATAATTAATATTTTCATCAGCAAAAATGTATAATCGAAATTTTCCAGTAAATGAAATTTAAAATTGTAAAACTCTACTAAACATAAAAATTCAATCTAAAAATGATAAATATTTTTAAACATGATTTAATCATTCACCTGATATTTCCTTGATATAAAAGTAACTACAATTCTTTCAATGAAACAGTAATTTTCAGTCGACAAAATTTTATAAATTATCTTTACCCATATCCGATTGCATAAAAAGGGAGAAAGCCTCGTATTTTCTGCTTACCGAGTGCTTTGCTTTAACATGAGCAAGATTGGGAGTCTTCGGAATGACCCTGATCGATCGGGATTCAGTGCATGGTATTACTAGCCTTAAGAAGTTGCTAACCTTCTATAGAAAGGGTGGCATTTTCACGAGCGCGCCCCCCTTCAATATCAATACCAATATCCATATCCGATAAAAATCATTTTAAACTAATTATAATGATTCTTGACAATGAAACTTTTAAAAGTTGTGTAATATCAATATATACTTTATAATTTATCTTGTTCATATTCTATATAATTCCATTTTAGGGTAAATTGTGGAATCTTTCTATAACTGAAAAACAAATAGAGGTTAGAAACAGTAATATAAACAATAAGTTTAAACATTACATACCTTTCATTTATTATAGAATATATTAGTTTCTATTTAAAAAAACAATCTTCGAGATATATTCTTTATACAATAGAAGATATCTTTGCTGAAATTTAACATGTTTCCAAAATTTTCTATGGTTAGTGTTTGCAAATTGACATTTTACCATATATGTATCTCTAATAGATTCTTTATGTATTCTAAGGTGGATTTTGTGGTGGAGCATTGCACGCGGCGGTTTAACCTCCGTTCGCTCCCGACAGAATCCCTTGTATTCGTCCTCAAAAGTTTGATATCGGTTTCCACTGTGTGGACTTAGTGTTGTTAGTGTTCAGTGCATGTTTTAAAGTTATAATCGTCGTCGGCCCCGTCGTTTTTCCCCGTTCACGCCGGTATGGAGGCCGGATGGGCCCGGATGGTCCGCGGTGGAAGCGGGGGGTGTCGGTTTTTTTTGGTATCGGTCATATTTGTTTTTTTTGCTAGTTGAGCAAATATTGGTTATATGTCTTCTTTGTACGTGTTGGTCAATGACCAAAAGCGAAGATCCTCGACGGAAGTCGGCAATGGGCGAATTATCCTAGCAGTCTAGCCCAACATTTTTTTGTGAAACGCATACTTCAACTTGTATTCTAAGGTTATAAGAATGCATTGAATAATCTCTCAACTATTAATGACATCACAAATCATCAACATGCCTCAAGAGTAATAGAAACACAGATATTCATTGCGACCTAATAATAAAAAATATTTGTAAAAATTAGGCTTATGTTAGTCTTTTTTTTATTCTAATGTAAAATGTATATGTATTTTTTTTTCACTTCCGATTCAACAGGTTTTGTTCTAGTTGTTGTTGTTGTTTGGAGGAGTGTATGTGTGTCTAAATAAAAAAAACACTAAAGATTTTTTTTTATTTACATCAACATCGATAATATTTTTAAAATTAAAAAAAAAAAAACTATGGGATTGATGCGGGCAGAGAGGATGCTAAACTTGCAAAATGTTTAAGTTTTTTTCTGCATTCGTCGGAATGAAGGCGCGCCACTTGTAACTCGCTCTGCAGCAGGGCAATTTTAGTTTCAGTCTCTTTGATCTGGTCCTCGTTTCGTACCAGCTGCGACTCTAAAACCATTTTCAACTGGAACGCTTCGCATACCACCCTTCTTTCTTCGTCGTCGATAAACGTATCGAACCAACCGGAGGAGGAGGAGGATGAGCCGGTATGCTGCTGCTGCTGCTGCTGAACCGTTTCTTCGCTTTTTCTTTCTTTTTGTGAGGCTTTGGGGGTGTCGTCGCACTACGACGTGTTTACGCAGGTTGAAGTTTTACACTGTGCCCATTCACGGCCTAAAAGGCATGACCAGTCAAACTTCAAAAGGATTAACTTGATGCACCATTAAATCACAAAATCAAGCAACTCCTCTACTTTCGTTCGATGCCATTGTCGTACCACAGCTATGTACTGACAGACCTGCAATCCAATAACGCTGGCAGAGAAAATTTAAAAAATCTGGAGTTGGCTGACCGCAATTACCATATTCCCGGTGTTGTAGATCTTGTAATTGGCGATTAACTGGTCAAATCCTACTCGCTGGACGCATCCCAGGTGCGTCCGGTCATCCATCTGCTTTAGAAACTAATAGGAAAGGTACAAAACTCGTTGAATAATTTGTCGACTGTTACGTCATGTTGCAGCAGTATTGGCTTAGATACTTATTTTCTGAAATTCTGGGAAGTAGAAAACATACCGACTAAGCATCCCGCTTCCCCGGAGGACGAAAGGTGTGAGACTATTTTCGCAAATACGACCCGCAGGAACAAGAGTGGTAGATTTATCGCATCCCTACCCTTTAAACACCCAGAATCTTAGCTTGTTGTCGCTGGAAAACCGTCTTTCTCGAAACCCAGAGCTCTATTCTACGTATCTCGACTTTATGCGCGATTACCTGGAAGATATTTATAAAGGTTCTTGGATTACAATGGAGCCCCATCTCCGATGCTTTTTCATACCATTGCCTACCTGGCCTTGCATGTAGATGAATAAAGGGACATCCAGGCCCACATAACCTCACTTTTTGGCTTCCCGACCACGGTCACAACGCCCATGGTCTTCTTCTTTTTGTGTTCTGGCCATTCGTCCATAGGTCACTCTCCCTAACCTTACCAAACAGTGGTCAGTAGTGCCAACCAAACCGTTGTCTTTGTCCGTTCGCCCGCGTGCCGTTCGGGGACCCCACCGGTAGCCCCCTCGCCATCTCGGGGGGGCTGCCGTGAAAACCCGTCCGTCGTTGAACGGTCACTTTAATGCCGAGCTAATTATGTACCGTCGGTTCCGTCCCGTTGCTGCTAGATGTCACGCGCGCCGTTCGCCCGCGTGCCGTTCGGGGGCCCACCGCCCGCGCGGGGGCGTAGCCCCCGATCGTTGTCCGTGGTGCCAAATTAACCAAACCGTGGTGCCAACCTAACCGTGGTCCGTGGTGCCAACCAAGTGACGCAAACGTCACCGGCAGGGAGGCGTACGTGCCGAAGGCGCGGGGGACAGGAAATAGATAAGAATATCCGTTGATAATGCTATTAATAAAACATCCGGAACACACAATAACATTTCAGTTTAATAATGAACGTCACACCGCCGAGAAATTATTTCGTCTACTCCAAAAAAATCGTGTGTTCAAAGTGTAATTACGCGCGCAAATACAAATATCAGCTATAACCGTATTGGATAAGCAAAGTAAAACTCCTTGACGTGTGTCCAAAGTGTACCCATCCTACAGTGCATCTTGTGAGATACGACACCCGTCATTACTACTAAAATGACAACCAAAAAACGCGTATTCACCTGTTTTATAAATGGTGATGATATGAAAGGAAAACTGGAAGCAATGCAAGGCCAGGTAGCCTGGTACATCGGCCAACAAGAAACAGGTAGGCTTTCGCAATGAATTTTACGCGAACTATTGAGGACGCTCAAAATTTAATTTTTGCTTTTCGTCAAGTGAACAAGGAGCGAACGGAGGTTAAACCGCCGCGTGCAATGCTCCACCACGGAATCATCTCGGTGTCTTCTACGTCTCTTCTTCTTGTTCGAATGTGGTTGTATCTACCATAGATTCAAATTCGGATGGGCACTGCAGAACCGTATTGGATAACGTCGCAACTGTCAATGACGTCACAAATTTCACGTTACAATTAAAATATGTCATATTGGTAATTTCACGAATTAGGCAATTATGTGATATTATGTATGATATTATTAGGCAATTACATGCGATGAAATATTAGAAAATTATTGTAGTTTTTTGGTAATTTCGTTAAGATGTTTAAACATCATTATGCAAAAATGTATCGAAAAAATATATTTAAAAATAATCTGTACTTATCCGCATTATTATTGTTTCTTTTACTTTTTCCTTAATTATAATACTTTAGGAAGGAAAGTAATTTATGTAGTAATAAATATTTTTAATATCACATGTGATATTCACTTGAATTATTATTTTTTAAATAAACGATATTTTATTCTTTATAGTTTTCTTATATTTCATTTCTTGTCGTCACTTTATTTTCTTAAAAGAAATAAAAAGGAATCTGTAAACAATACCGAATTTATTTGACAGATTGTGTAAACTTATGTTTTACATTTCTTGTGTTAAACTAGAAAAACTTATTATGTTACATAAAACGAATAAAAAAAACTTACTTGTTAAATTGAAATTTATGTCTAAATGAAGTATTTTCTTGGATGACTCGACGAATACTTACAAAGTTTCAATGATCGTTTATTTAATAAAATTGTCTCTTTTTTTTTTATAATTGATGAACGATATTCTTCATAACTAAGTTGTCGGTAGTGATTTATTGTCCACCTAGAAATATATAATAATTTATAAATTTTCATTGAGAGAAATAAATGGAAAATTTTACATTCAAAAAGAAATATTAGAAAATTAAAATTTAAAAAACTTGAATAATTTAAAAAATACATAAATAAATGAAACACATTAAAACACTAATATTTCATATTAAGAATAATAATATAAATATTAAAAGAAAATTAAGATTAATTATCATGTTTTCATTCATTCATTTAAATATATATATTTTTTAATTATTTCTTTTTATTTAGATGATATAAGCCTTTGTAAAATAGTGATGGTAATTTTTTGGATGAAATTATCAGTTGGTCCATGTTCAATAACTGATTGAAGGCATTCCTTATAGGGAAATTGTTAATGATGGTTTGTTTTTTATCTGCAGGATTATAACATGAAAAAAATTTACCGTCAAAAAAGTAAATAAAATATTTTAAATTTATCATGCAATTTTAGTAAATAAATTGAAAATCGTCTATTTGAAATACTTACACATATATATGATTCATTTAAATGTTGCCAAAAACAATAAAACTAACTTGAATTGTGTAAATAATTTTAAAAGATTATATGAAAAGTTAATTTTATACCAAATATCAATTACGACTTATAATTTGAACATGATAAAACTTTACCTGTGTTTATATCCATTTATCCGAATAATATTTTACTTGGATAATTTTTTTTCCAAATTGGCAATGATGGTTTTTATTTAAATTTCTTATGATAATTTCTCTAGAAATTATCAGAAGTCGTTTTATTGATAACTCATTGATGATAATTTTTGCTGTTAAACTACCCTCTTCTAAGCGGTTCTTCAATGGTCTAATTTGTTACCTGGGACGTCAGCTTTTTTTTTTTAGGGGGTAGTGAAACATCTAGTTCTTGTATCATTTCTCTTTCTGCAAATTTTTTGAATCCTGTAACCATAGGAAACAAAACGATTATGAATTAGAGGTTATGAAAAATAATAAGGCATAAAAATTAAAAATGTTATATTAAATACCTTTAATTTAAAAATTCGTCGACATGTACCCATTTTGACATTTTCTACGTTTAACTGTGTTCGCGTTTACAATAGTTTGAAACTCGGATGGGCATTGTAAAACCGCATCAAATAATCCTACAACTGTTGATGACGTCATAAATTTAAAATTGTCATTATGTATTATTATTGTTGATTGGATAAATGAAGTAATTATGTACAAAGGCATTACAATTTTTGTTAATTTCATCATGATGTTTAGATATTTTATTGGAAAATATATTTAAAAGTAATTTGTAAACTTTTACATTATTTTCTTAAAGAAGTAAAAAGGAATCTGTAATTTCGAAATTGCTTGATAAATGGCGTAGATTTACGCTTTGTATATATTTGTTTTTCAGCTTGAAAATATAGGATACTATGTAAAATAATTATTGATTTTAATTTGATATATTTTATAAAATAAATATTAAAGACTTACTTGTTAAATTAAAATTTCTTTATCCAAATAATGTATTTAATTTAATAAAATAATGTATTGTATCAATTATTTGTCGCAAATTCTCAAATTCTATAATCATCACAAATGAAATAAAAATAAATTAGAGGTTATAAAAAATAAAATCACATTCGACGAAATATTACAAAAATATTGTACCTTCATTTACATTTAATGAAAACTATTTTAGTCAAAATGAAAAGATTCTTTATGATAAAACATCTGATTTTTGTATTGCATTAATTATTTTTCCACAAATTCTTAAATCCTGCAACCATCGTTGACAAAACAATAATAAATTAAAGATTATGGAAATTATTATCACATAAAAATTTTAGAGTTTATGAAAAATAATATCGCATAAAAATTAAAAATGTTATATTAAATACCTTTAATTTGTAAAATGTATTTGTTTCTCTTGGAAATAAATCCCAGTGACGCATTTTTTCACGCAATTGACGACGACATGCCATAATTTAAAAATTCGTCGACGCGTACCCATTTTGACATTTTCTACGTTTAACTGTGTTCGCGTTAACCATAGTTTGAAACTCGGAAGGGCATTGTAAACCCGCATCAAATAATCCTACAACTGTTGATGACGTCATAAATTTAAAATTGTCATTATTAATATTAGAATTAAGATTATGTAATATTATTGTTGATTGGATAAATGAAGTAATTATATACAAAGGCATCACAATTTTTGTTGATTTCATCATGATGTTTAGGTATTGTTATTGGAAAATATGTTGGAAAATATATTTGAAAGTAATTTGTAATCTTTTACATTATTTTCTTAAAGGAAAAGGAATCTGTAATTTCGAAATTGCTTGATAGATGGTGTAGATTTACGCTTTGTATATATTTGTTTTTCAGCTTGAAAATATAGGATACTATGTAAAATAATTATTGATTTTAATTTGATATATTTTATAAAATAAATATTAAAGACTTACTTGTTAAATTAAAATTTCTTTATCCAAATAATGTATTTAATTTAATAAAATAATGTATTGTATCAATTATTTGTCGCAAATTCTCAAATTCTATAATCATCACAAATGAAATAAAAATAAATTAGAGGTTATAAAAAATAAAATCACATACGACGAAATATTACAAAAATATTGTATCTTCATTTACATTTAATGAAAACTATTTTAGTCAAAATGAAAAGATTCTTTATGATAAAACATCTGATTTTTGTATTGCATTAATTATTTTTCCACAAATTCTTAAATCCTGCAACCATCGGAGACAAAACAATAATAAATTAAAGATTATGGAAATTATTATCACATAAAAATTTTAGAGGTTATGAAAAATAATATCGCATAAAAATTAAAAATGTTATATTAAATACCTTTAATTTGTAAAATGTATTTGTTTCTCTTGGAAATAAATCCCAGTGACGCATTTTTTCACGCAATTGACGATGACATGCCATAATTTAAAAATTCGTCGACACGTACACATTTTGACATTTTCTACGTTTAACTGTGTTCGCGTTAACCATAGTTTGAAACTCGGAAGGGCATTGTAAACCCGCATCAAATAATCCTAAAACTGTTGATGACGTCATAAATATAAAATTGTCATAATTAATATTAGAATTAAGATTATGTAATATTATTGTTGATTGGATAAATGAAGTAATTATATACAAAGGCATTACAATTTTTGTTGATTTCATCATGATGTTTAGGTATTGTTATTGGAAAATATATTTGAAAGTAATTTGTAATCTTTTACATTATTTTCTTAAAGAAAAAGGAATCTGTAATTTCGAAATTGCTTGATAGATGGTGTAGATTTACGCTTTGTATATATTTGTTTTTCAGCTTGAAAATATAGGATAATATGTAAAATAATTATTGAATTTAATTTGATATATTTTCTAAAATAAATATTAAAAACTTACTTGTTAAATTAAAATTTCTTTATCCAAATAATGTATTTAATTTAATAAAATAATGTATTGTACCAATTATTTGTCGCAAATTCTCAAATTCTATAATCATCACAAATGAAATAAAAATAAATTAGAGGTTATAAAAAATAAAATCACATAAAATTTAAAGATTCTATATTAAATACCTGTTATCTGTAAAGTGTATTTATGTCATCAACGATAATATTTTAAAAATTTCATAAATTACACGATTATATACGACCAAATATTAGAAAAATATTGTATCTTCATTTACATTTAATGAAAACTATTTTAGTCAAAATGAAAATATTCTTTATGATAAAACATCTGGTTTTTGTATTGCATTAATTATTTTTCCACAAATTCTTAAATCCTGCAACCATCGGAGACAAAACAATAATAAATTAGGGATTATGGAAATTATTATCACATAAAAATTAAGATTGTTATATTAAATACCTTTTATGTTTCTTTATGAAATAAATTCCAGTAATACGTTCTTTATGCGATCATCAACGATATTTTAAGAATCTTGAAATTTATAGACATGTATGTTTTCTTACCATCATTTGACTGTAGCTGAGTCTATCATAATTTCTAATAATTTGGATGGTGATTTAAGGTAAAAATAACTAAATTTCATTACATTAGATAACAATTTTTAATTAATATAACTTTATGAGACACATTTATTTACCTTTGATTCAAACCATCTCACTTGAAATGTAACGATTTTTCATGATGATAGTTCCTTGTTTGTATTAATTTTGGAGTTTCATATTTACTGAAAATAAAAAACAATAAATTAAAAGACCTGAAAAACAAAAGTATATTCAAAGTTATTATTTTATGAAATTCATTTTAAAATGTATCTTTAATAACTAATCAATGGTAATCCTTATATATTCATTGATAAATTAAAACAATGTTCAATTTTCTTTCTTTCATTATTATAAATTACTAACAATTAAATTTCAGACAAATAATAATCTTAATATGGCAATCAATAATTAATATTTTCATCAGCAAAAATGTATAATCGAAATTTTCCAGTAAATGAAATTTAAAATTGTAAAACTCTACTAAACATAAAAATTCAATCTAAAAATGATAAATATTTTTAAACATGATTTAATCATTCACCTGATATTTCCTTGATATAAAAGTAACTACAATTCTTTCAATGAAACAGTAATTTTCAGTCGACAAAATTTTATAAATTATCTTTACCCATATCCGATTGCATAAAAAGGGAGAAAGCCTCGTATTTTCTGCTTACCGAGTGCTTTGCTTTAACATGAGCAAGATTGGGAGTCTTCGGAATGACCCTGATCGATCGGGATTCAGTGCATGGTATTACTAGTCTTAAGAAGTTGCTAACCTTCTATAGAAAGGGTGGCATTTTCACGAGCGCGCCTCCCTTCAATATCAATACCAATATCCATATCCGATAAAAATAATTTTAAACGAATTATAATGATTCTTGACAATGAAACTTTTAAAAGTTGTATAATATCAATATATACTTTATAATTTATCTTGTTCATATTCTATATAATTCCATTTTAGAGTAAATTGTGGAAGCTTTCTATAACTGAAAACAAAGAGGTTAGAAACAGTAAATTAAATTTCAGTCAAATAATAATCTTAATATGGCAATCAATAATTAATATTTTCATCAGCAAAAATGTATAATCGAAATTTTCCAGTAAATGAAATTTAAAATTGTAAAACTTTACTAAACATAAAAATTCAATCTAAAAATGATAAATATTTTTAAACATGATTTAATCATTCACCTGATATTTCCTTAATATAAAAGTAACTACAATTCTTTCAATGAAACAGTAATTTTCAGTCGACAAAATTTATAAATTATCTTTACCCATATCCGATTGCATAAAAAGGGAGAAAGCCTCGTATTTTCTGCTTCCCGAGTGCTTTGCTTTAACATGAGCAAGATTGGGAGTCTTCGGAACGACCCTGATCGATCGGGATTCAGCGCATGGTATTACTAGACTAAAGAAGTTGCTAACCTTCTATAGAAAGGGTGGCATTTTGGACGTTCTCTAGAGCGGTCTGGTGGCCTAAATGCTTGGACGCCCACGAGCGCCTCCCTTCAATATCAATACCAATATCCATATCCGATAAAAATCATTTTAAACTAATTATAATTATTCTTGACAATGAAACTTTTAAAAGTTGTGTAATATCAATATATACTTTATAATTTATCTTGTTCATATTCTATATAATTCCATTTTAGGGTAAATTGTGGAATCTTTCTATAACTGAAAAACAAATAGAGGTTAGAAACAGTAATATAAACAATAAGTTTAAACATTACATACCTTTCATTTATTATAGAATATATTAGTTTCTATTTAAAAAACAATCTTCGAGATATATTCTTTATACAATAGAAGATATCTTTGCTGAAATTTAACATGTTTCCAAAATTTTCTATGGTTAGTGTTTGCAAATTGACATTTTACCATAGATGTATCTCTAATAAATTCTTTATGTATTCTAAGGTTATAAGAATGCATTGAATAATCTCTCAACTATTAATGACATCACAAATCATCAACATGCCTCAAGAGTAATAGAAACACAGATATTCATTGCGACCTAATAATAAAAAATATTTGTAAAAATTAGGCTTATGTTAGTCTTTTTTTTTATTCTAATGTAAAATGTATATGTATTTT